TCTTTAATATCATGCATGCATACATGTTGATTGCGAAAGCAGAACAAGCTAATGGCTTTTAAATTTATAAGTGATATACACTACCTGACAAAAGTCTTGTCATCAATCCCAGTTGTTAGAGCAACAACTTCACCTCTAGTTGATCATTTTGAAAAGTGGCAGAAGCTCGATTTTTCCCATCACCTGTTGAACTGCGTCCCAATCATCACAAATACTGTAGATAAACTGGAACTGGCATGGACCCAAGATTCTCATAGATATTAGTCAAGTTTGGTGAAGGAAAAGTCATGGTTTGGGGTTACATTTAGTATTGGGGCATGTGAGAGATCTGCAGAGTGGATGGCAACATCAACAGCCTGAGGTATCAAGACATTTGTGCTGCCTATTATATTACAAACCACAGGAGAGGGCAAATTCTCCAGCATGATAGCGCTCCTTCTCATACTTCAGCCTCCACATCAAAGCTCCTGAAAGCAAAGAAGATCAAGGTGCTCCAGGATTGGCCAGCCCAGTTAACAGACATGAACATTATTGAGCATGTCTGGGGTAAGATGAAGGAGGAGGCATTGAAGATGAATCCAAAGGATCTTGATGAACTCTAGGAGTCCTGCAAGAACGCTTTCTTCGCCATTCCATATGACTTTATTAATCAGTGATTTGAGTCATTGCAGAGATGTATGGATGCAGTCCTCCAAGCTCATGATGGAGTCAATACACAAACACAATATTCATTCTGTTTCCACTGCAGCATGACTTTATATTTTATACTGGACATTATTTCTGTTCAGTGACAAGACTTTTGTCTAAGCAAAGTCAGGCCTTACTGTCCTAATGAAATAATTAAAAATCAAGACATGATCATATTTTATTTTAGTAAAATAAGTGTAATCTAGAGGCCTTTGCCTTTCACAAAAGCCAATTCTGATACCAAATGATCAGCTAGAAGTCAAGATATTATTTGTTGGTCCTAAAACTTGGATATGCGACAAGACTCTCTTGTTATTACCATACACTTTTGATCCATTATTTATATCATGAGATATACATATTGTGCAGCCAAATGAGCAAGGTTTATACTTCCAGAACCAAATATTGGATTTTTTTTCCAGGTCCATTATTTCAAATGTGTAAAAAATGTAATAACTACAATTAATAAACAAAGCAAAATTATACCATGCAATTGTAACTCATAAATGTCTGAAAAGTAATAGGAAGAAGCAAATGCTTATTTACTGTGGTTGTATACAGTGTTCACAACCTTAGGCTTTGCTGGTGGCACTTATTTATTCATTTGCTTTATACCATTGCCTTGGATGACTTGAAAAGTTCGGTGATCAATGTATCTTGAAAACCTCTCAGCACGATCTGAAATGGATCCAATGGCCAGCCTGCTTGCGAGAGATAAAAGATGCAGGGGACACATTTATTCCCCTCCATTCTTAAGACTTGTGAATAGATTGTAGGGGAAGAGCTTATGTTGGGATGAAGAGGGGATAGATTGACAGAAAGAGAAACTAAACGGATAAATGAATGGGCTCCCGTAGGAATTGGTTTTCCTTTAGGAGAAATTCAGCTGTGGAAGAGATTGAAAGACAGCTCGACTCACACTAATAGAGAGGTGTGTGTTTGTGTTTGCCGAGTGTGTGTTGGAAAGGTCAGGCGATTCATTTCACACCTGAACGGTGCCATTAACGCAAGGACAGGTCTTTTCGTTTGTCCGCCGACGTAAGATCCTTCCCATCAGTGCCCGATAACCGGCTTAAAAAAAGACATCACTGCCACTGCGTGATGTTGAGCGACGGTCTGGTTTAAATATTGTACTCTAATACAGGATATATGGTTTCTTTCTTTGGTGTCTTGTGTTTACGCGTGAATGTGCGTCTGATGGATGAACAGACCTTGACAGGTGCTGAGGCGAAATAATGAATGTTTTCAATTACTGTCAAGACGCGTTTCTCTTTTTCCACTCATCCCCCAGTGATTCTTTCCATTTCTCTCTCGCTCATTCTTCATTTCTTTGCACTGTTTTACAAATATTTGTATTGATCAGAGCAGAAAAAAAACTTAAAGCCACAAATGACAAACTTGGATATGAATAACCATGAACATATGCATGGTTAGGCACTGGGAAAAAAAAAGATTCCTTGGATTTACTCTTTTTTTTTTTAAGGTAAAGGGTTGCAAAGAATATATATATATATATATATATATATATATATATATATATATATATATATATATATATATTTATATATATGGGCTGAATTTAAACAAAAATGTGTGTGTGTGTGTGTGTGTGTTTGTGTGTGTGTGTGTGTGTGTGTGTGTGTGCGCGTGTGTGTGTGTGTTTAAATTAAGTATTGTCGTTTGACATCTGTGTGTTTGTGAGAGAACACATAAGAAATGGATGATATTTACACAGCTCTTTTCTTTTGCTGGTGGCCTTGTCTGCCAACCTTGATATAACGGCCTCTGTATCCAACTTTATTTTCAGCGAAGCTTCTGATTTATTAGATGCTGTACAGTAGGTGCAGTAAACAGTATTTTTATTTCACTGTGCCACAATCCAATGTGTTTATGATTATGGTAATAAATAAAAAATGATGAAAATCAATACCAGTTTGCGATATCAAGCAGCTTAACGGTTGTTTTAAAAAACAAAATCAGATTACTGTAATCAAATCAAACCAGACGTCTCATACAGTCAGTTTACATATTGACGCTCCACTCTTATGTATTGAGGTGGATAAAAGTACGTAATCCATAATACTTACTGTATGTATTATGTGAAGTTATTATATTAGAAAGACACAATGTAATTTGATATGTGACACTTAGAAATGAACATTTTAAACTCGTGTTATTTCAGAATTGCAAATTAAAAATACAACTTTTTGACTAATAATTATTTCGTAAATCTACATTAGCTACAGATGTCTTCTGGTGTATTGTGGCGTATATGAGTTTATAGTATCTGTTTTTTCGATATAACACAAATATATTGGGAATATTCAAATGAAATAAATATTATGTATTACACATTATATGTTATTATCTTTTATTAGTGCTGTCGAATGATTAATCACGCTAAAACACATGGATGTATTGAGAAAATGTTTTTTACAAGCCACCTTTTCTTCTGTTTTTCAATTCATGAAAGTCAGTAAAGTGATTGATAGGGAAGACAAATTTATTTGATTACAAATCATAGACAGTGTTAAGTAGCTTTGAGGTGTTTATTTGTGGTTTTGCAAAAAATTGCACAAAAATAATCCTATATTTGTTGATAATATCTCGTAAATATCATTAGTGTGTAAAGCAACAAAATTAGTTGCTGTCGTACTGCCCCCTAGTGTTTGGTTAATGTTAAAGTACATTATTGTGATTTCATAAAAACTCACCCAGGCTCATTCTGATTACGTACCCTTATAAACATTTCTAGAGATCGTTAAATACATCCTAGGAGCCACTTTTTTTGCAGTTTTGGTTTTTGTGACTCTGCCAGAGGCTGCTGTGTTTTAGACATCTTTTTACGTAAATCCACCAGAGGCCACTGTCGACTGACTGACTGACCGATCGACTGACCCACACTCCTCTTTCCCTAAATCCAACTGATAGTGTTTTCAAAAGCACCGATTGACCCGCCCACCCACTTCACTAAACCCAACCGACAGTGTTTTCAAAAGCAATTCAGAAAAGAAAAGCTCTTCTGGACGCCTGATTTTTACCACATTTTTAGATTTTACCACAGTCTCACCCTGTTATTTACTTGCTTATTTGATTGTTTTGCTTTTGTTTTTGCCTTACCTGCTTTCTGAAACCGTTCTTCACCAGACTCAAACCCCATCGTCGCGGTTAACTCAACTCAGCTCTGCATCTCACCGGAAAAGCTGTCCATACGGAGGTAAGCGGTCAGCTAATAAGCGCGAAAGTTCATTTTTAAGATGAAATGCAGCAATATGTACCTCTAGCTACATAATTAGCAATCTCCAGAAATGTATATAGGGGTACATTTAAGACAAGCCTATGCTGAGCCTATGTATTTCCAATGAGTCTGTGTTGCAATTAAACCTACGGTACGTTTTTTGAATGCATGCATTTTCCAACATTCGAGCGCTTGCATTTGTTTTTGGTTAAAGGTGTGAACACACGAACAGTCCTTTTAGAAAAGTAAATAGGGTTTTAGTTGTTTGAATTACATTACTGCTTGGCATTCAGACAGGCTGCTTCTGAGGTGAAATAGAATGGATTGCTAAGGGAGCTCCCAAGTCACAGAGGGGCTCAAAGAGCGAAAGAAAAACCAGAACAACAGGTGGTTTGTTTGTCACATTGTGTATTTGACAATTCATTCGAACAGAAAGAAAGCTATTGATCAGATCCCAGACTGAAAGCGTATGTACCCTTGTGCATTCATAAGTTCTCCGAGTGCCAGATGGAGCTCGGAGAACGTCTCAAAATTCAAAGCATTTTACAAAAACATGTGTCAGAATAAGATTTGTCACTAAAAGTCATTTCACACAGAGAAAGATGTGGCCAAATTAAGACTCAAAATCACCCCAGAGTGGGTGAAAACATCTCCAACAGCACACAAGGGTTAACTTCCGTTTCATGGCCACTTCAGGTAGGTCAAGATGTGTGTGTGTGTGAGAGCTCTCTGTGTCAGCTGTCCAGTGTATTGATCCTGTATGAGATCTTGGGCCTGTTTTTGCCTTCTCATAATGACGGCACTGCCAAGGACGGTTGAGGCTAAGAGCTTCAGACGGTGTCCTACTTTGACACTCTAATCCACTTATGCAAGTCCTGTATGTGTGTGAGCTGAGTGTTTAGCATGAGGTTAAATATGTAGTTGACGTAGATTGCATAACAGGATGGCATTGAGATTAAGAAGTTTGCATCAGCATCATTTACCCTGTGTGTGTGTGTGTGTGTGTGTGTGTGTGTGTGTGTGTGTGTGTGTGTGTGTGTGTGTGTGTTGAAGTGAAGCATTTGTCTTTTATTCCCTATGGAGTCCTGGCTGCTAAGCACCGGCTCTCTGACTTCCTCAAAGGGATTAGAACTGCCTTACAAACACACACACACACACATGGATGTATCGTAACCGAAGTGCATGCCGCAACGACAGGAAAAACAGATGAGTTACATGCATAGCAATTAAGAAATGGATTAATTATGTCAACAATGCTGGTGTGAGATGAGTTTAACACACTTTATGCTGCACATACACTCAAACAGAACCACACAACCGGTGCTTTAGTCTTAAAAACTGTGATGGAAAAGGTGCAAATGAAGGACAGAGGAGGAGAAGATGAAAACAAGTGATCTTAGTGCAGTAGAAGAAATATATACTTGTTCGTCCCGGTGAGATGAAGAGAGACCGATTTTGATGTAAGTGACAGTCTGGCTTTGCTCAATACCTGCTGCTAGGTGTTTTTGTGTGTGTGCTGTTTGAGTTTATTTATAATCTCTGTATTTTTTAAGGGATTTTGTAGAGCTTGGTTTAAAGCGTAAAGCAAAAGTGTTGGTAACACTTTACAGTACCTGACACATGTTAGCTGTATTTAACACAAACAAACCGTGTTTAATCATCTTTGTTAACATTATTGTATGAAGTTGTTCATTGTTAGTTCATGTTAAGTGCATTAACTAGGGCTGTGTGATTTGGGGAAAATATCCAACTAATTATTTATTTATTCATTCATTTTTGACAAATATTGCAATTTGATTTGCGATTTTAATTTTGTAGTCAAGCTTCAGCTCAGTAATCTGCATCGTAGCTTCTTGCTGCTAAAATGCAGTGACTTTTATTAAAAAAGGAACTGAAAAGATATTAACTTACTTAAACATTTATTCAAATATTTTTTAAATATTCAGAAATGAAACTCTCGTTTTTCTGTAGAGCAATTAGTAAACACAAATAAATTTACCTTGTCTTTCTGTAAACAAGTTGAACTCAAATTAGGGAGTTTATTATACAAAAAAAAGTAATCATTCTAAAAATACAGAACACTCAGCAAACTAATATGGCTGTGTGGAGAGGTAAGCATGATCGAACACCCAATGAGAGGAGAGAGCATGCTCAGAGCCCGGCGGCTAATCAGCAGGCCAATCTGAAATAATAAATAACACCTGTTTATTCTAGTGATTGAGCCGGAGAGACACCCTTCTTAAGGAGAAGAGAAGGAGCAGCCGGGGAGAGGAGAGAGCACACACACACACCTCAACTGCTACACGTGTTGTGCATTTAAAAAATAAAAATATATTACTTACCTGATATCGCCGACCCTGTCTTCTTCTTCCCACACAATAACGAACAATATTACAGTGGTGCCGAAACCCGGGAAGAAGAAGACAGGCTCTGCCGCCGGGCTCTGAGCATGCTCTACCCCTCATTGGGTGTTCGATCATGCTTACCTCTCCACAGGCTGATAAGAGCCTTTCTGTATCTTATATTGTCTAAAAAAAAATAATCATCACAGATGCTACACAAAATATTATGACATTAAACGTACTGCTGTGGTACTCCAAAATGGCTAAAATAGGTGTGAGATGGAAGTGTATGGCCCAATCCCAATTCTATATTTGTACCCTTCCGCTTGGCCCTTAAAAATGAGTATTTATCTTCAGGAAATCACTGAAGGCATATATTATGTTATTATAATGATCTAATGTGGCAATAAGATCGTAACTGTACTGTGAATTTACACCCGGGCCGATTATAGATAGAGAATATTAGCAGTTTTTTATATCCCTATATTCAGGCAACAGTTTAAACAAAGTGTGAGACATTTTTTGGAAATATTGGCTGAGCATATTGGCTTTGTTTTTTGGATTAGTTTCCACTAGTGATGTACCCGCTCTCTGTCGTAATACTCAAAAACAGGTCTCAGCGCTAATGTTAACTCCAGGGGTAACAGGATTAGCCTTATAGCTTCACAGTGACCTAACCTACTCTACTGACAACGACACACATACTCATTCTTCATCTGTGCTTGTTAACTGGCTTTTGGCCTAAAGTAGCCTGAAGAGTAAGGGATATTCTATTCCATTCCATTTTATTCTATTCCATTCCGTTCCATTCTATTCTAAAAAGACCAAGAGCTCTTTAATACCACAATTGCTTCTTCCAGACCGAAATGAGTTAATCTGAAAATGTCGCTTATATTTATAGTGTGATGTATTCTGAGTGAAACGTCAAAAAACTGAGAGGAATTAAGCTGTTTTTAAACGATCTTTCTTCTTAATATTAATAATGGTCTTTTTATGCTGAGTTCAGACTATAGGGCTGCAGGGCGATTTGGCCTAAAATCAAAATCTGAATTGAACATTTTAACTCGATTACAATTAAAGAACGATTGTTTTATTTATTTATTTTATGTTTTTGCCATCATAGTTTACTGACAGGTTTTTATGTTCATATTACTAGTGAGAAGTTTTTGAATGTAGGGTGTATTACTTGAATTGAAAATAATTGAAGTAAACACACTCTATTATTTACGATATTTTATTAAACATCAGCGCTAAACTGAAATTAAACAGAAATTAACGGCTCTCTGCACCTTCCAACCTCGTCACCGCTATCAAACTGACCAATCACAAAGCTTGCGCTACGCATAGTTGTGACATTTAGTTACACTTTTTTAGAGCTGCGCACGTATGCAAAGACTGCGCCGGACTGTACATGTGTGCTTGGCAGAAGTATAATTTCAAAATAATATAATAAGTATAAAACATAATAGAATAAGTATAAAATAGCCTTAACAGAGTGAGGTCATGTGACTCCACACACGGTAGGGAAAGTAATTGATAAAATTGACTGATGGATTTTAGGTTCTGTATGTCGATTTTGCTTACTTTTCGATTAATGGCCCATCCCTAGTTCAGACTGCATGGTTTTCAAAGTAGTCATGTCACAGATGTTTTCACATTGTTTACACTGCAAGATGGATTGGTGACAGGGGTTTCACATAATGAGAAAGAAGCCTTTAGTGGGGCAGAAAATGGACTTGTTTTGCTCACCTGGGTTTTGAAGGGAAATCGCAATCTTTCCTTAACTTTGTGAAGTTTATTTATAAACTTATTTCGAGAGGATCACGTGCTTATGGTTGCTTGCGGCTGGTCCTGCATTATTCAATTTATGATTCACCAATCAAACTATTCCTAAGCCACTATAAATACTCTGAGTTCCATATAACAGCCATCTTCGTTTTGAAGAATTCCCCCTTCCACCCCTACTCCTCCTCCTTTTCTAGATGGGTGGCATGGTGAACCAGTAGTTAGCACTGTTGCTTCACAGCAAGAGCGTCTCTGGTTTTAGTCATTACAAAGCCAGCTGACGTTTCTGTGCAGAGTTTACACGTTCTCCCCATGCTCATGTGGGTTTCCCCTGGGTTCCCCGGTTTCCTCCAACCGTCCAAAAACATGCAACTTAAGTTAATAGACTAATCCAAATCGGTACCATAGACATGCTCCTAGTAAGTAGTTATCTCTTAAAAGCAATCACTATCTGTTCATTAGCTACTACAGCAGGGGAGTTCTCGAGATCTACCTGAGCTCAAACTCCCCTCTCGCTTTGCTATGGGAGGGAGCCCCGGGCTCAAGGATCTTGTGAGCTCAGGGCTCTCTCCCAGAACAGCATGCCAAACAAGCTTTATAATCAATCAACAGCTAAGTGTGAACTGTTAAAATTATTTTTCGACCGGGTTTTGATATTGCTCAGATGACACGTCAAAAAGACAAAGATGCTCCTGCCAAATTTACACTAGTTTATCCTCCATTTCTTGGGTCCAAATAGACCAAAAAGAAGCCGTTTTAACTCCTCCCCCAACCTCTATCTGACCTGCAGATACCCATACTAGTGGATGCTGCTCTCTCATTGGTGGTAGTTAATCGCTGATGTTATTTTCATACAGAGCACATTTCACGCCATAATTTGAATTGCACACAGCTCCAAATATCTCACGGTTGTTGGCGACTCCTCATCGATTCTTTCAGATCACGTCTTTGATCGTTAACACTGTGTGATTGTGTTAGTTATGTAAACTAGCACTGATTTTGTCTGGGATTTCTAAAACCCTGTTGGCGAGTCACAATCTGGGCTAAAATCATGCAGTCTGAAATCTGCGTTAGTGCAAATGTCTAATAGAAAGTGTCTTAAAATGAAATGTAGCTCAATTATTACACTCTCAAGATCTTTAAACCTGTCAGCAATGATATTACCCTCTCTTTGGAGACTTTTTAATATATATTTTTTTTTTAAAGAAGTGTGTGTGCGAGCGTGAAAGATGAGAGCGTTGAGTTCAGGTGATGCTCAGTGGATAAATGAGAGATTGAAGTAAGGGAAGTGCAACATAGCGAAAAATCTGGATATAATTGAGAGCAACATAAAGGTCAAGCAGAAACACGGAGAGAAGTAGGAGAAAAGAGAAAATCATATTTTGGGGTCCGGTTATTACTTTAGGGTTTATAAAAGGTACAGATTATTGCATTTCTTTGTAGTGGAAGTGCTGCAAGACCGATAACAGATATGCTGTATTCCAGGAGGACACGTTCTTTTCTCCTCGTAAAGCTGTAGCATCCAGACTATTCACAAACACTGAAACACCTGCCTCTCGCTATTGTTGTGCTCCTGTAAAATGCAGAAAACAAAATGTTCAGTCCTATTTTCATGGTTTGTTTGTTCTTAAGAGCAATGGAAATGTTTAACTATGGCTTATTTAAGTGGACATTCAAAATAAATAGTGGAGACGCTACCAACATTTTAAAGAGAAAGCTCAGTCAATAATTAAATATGGCTCTTGAATTGGATTGGTTCATATCAAACACAAAGCACTTTATCTCTTGCAGTAACCAGTGGGATGCTTTCCTATAATAAGCTTTATTTTAATTACTTGAACATGCATAGAAGACGCGATTCAAACACGTTGCGGATTCCGAATCATTTGCACCACCCACTTTTCATTGACACTCATTCATCGCATGAATACTTGAATTTGCATTTGGTGTGAATCACATGGTCCTACATTAAATGAGGCCTTGAGTTTGACACCTTTGTTTTAAATGAATCAAGTGAGTCGGATCAATTATCAGCTCTTAGAGAAAGCCACTTTCTTGCTTTCTAAAGGAATCAGTCCACTGAAAGAAATTGATTTAATATGCGACTCAGTGAATCACTCTTTAGGACAAGGACTGGCTGCCAACAAATTACCAGCAGTTTTACTGTCATATTGATTATCCTTGACCAGCCAAAAGCAGTCAAGGTACCAGCACAAATACAATTCCTTAAAATATTGACATTTTTGTTGTTGTTGTTGTTAATATTTCATGCATAATCCTTTAGTAATATTTTTTATATAATGTATTTATAAAAAGTTTAAGCCATACAGAAA